CCTCCCGGGGCAGCAGCGGTCGCTCCCCCTGGCGCACTCCTGCAAATGACCCCGCGGTTGCTCCGGCCACGCTGTGTTTGCCACCAGGATTTTGCAGTTTCACCTCTTTTGGATGAATAAAGAATCGACATCGCACGGACAACACAAGTGAAGGGCTTTGGGAACGAGCAGGAACATAACTGCAACACGCAGCATGTCCAATCCATTTTTTCCCAGCAAATGAAATGGATCTGGTGGCAAATTAACACAAAACTTGCAGGAGCGACGGCCTTGCAGCGTGGTGGGGAGGGTAAAGGCTGGGGAGAGATAGGCCTGTTCCCCTCTGCACATCCCTCCTTAAATGCTACCGTTAATAGAAATAAATTAGAATAAATGATCAGCCTTTGCCTCCAAAAGACAGGTGGCAGGGTAATATTAAAAGAAATGAATAAAAAACCATTTAATGAGCATTGTTAATTAAACCTGGAAATCAAAGAGGTCTGAGTTGTGGGAATTCGCAGGAAAAATGAAAATGAAGGGAGCTGTAGCTCGGGGCAGGAAGAGTGGAATTAAATTAAATGCAACGTGGGATCGTGCCTGTTAATGTCTATCGCCCGCCGCAGTTATTGCAGTTTGGGATCAAGTGTTTGTTCTCTCGCACGCCCGAATTACGCGCGCCCGCCGCAAATGGAAACTGCCGCGCGGTGCTGGGCAGCCCAGCTGGGGCTGGGGCCGGAGCCGGCGCCACCGCGGGGACGGGGCGGCCACCAACCTGCCCGCAGACACACAGCAGGTCAGTGTGTGCGAGTGTGCAGCATGCGTGAGTGTGCAGTGTGTGCCCAAGTGTGTGGTGTGTGCGAGTGTGCACCATGCACAAGTGTGCAGCATGCACAAATGTGCAGCATGCGTGAGTGTGCAGTGTGTGCCCAAGCGTGTGGTGTGTGCGAGTGTGCACCATGCACAAGTGTGCAGTGTGCGCAAGTGTGCAGTGTGTGCAGCATGCGCAAGTGTGCGGTGTGTGCAAGTGTGCACTATGCACAAGTGTGCAGCATGCGCGAGTGTGCAGTGTGTGCCCAAGCATGTGGTGTGTGCAAGTGTGCACCATGCACAAGCATGCACCATGCACAAGCATGCACCATGTGCAAGCATGTGTTGTGTGCCCAAGCGTGTGGTGTGTGCGAGTGTGCACCATGCACAAGTGTGCAGTGTACGCAAGTGTGCACAAGCGCGCAGTGCATGCAGAAGTGTGCAGTGCACGTGCGCAAGTGTGCAGTGTGTGTTCAGAGTGTGTGTGTGTGCACAAGTGTGCGTGTGTGGGCATTAGTGTCCATGTCCACATGTGTGTACCTGTGTGTCCCTGTGGACATGAGTGGTGTGTGTTGGGGTCTCTGTCTCTGCAGAGCTGCTTTGCAGCGTGTGTGTCACTGTGCACCAGTGCATGTGTCAGTGCACACCAGTGCGTGTGTCAGTGCCGGCACAGGCGCTTCTGTGCACCCGTGGGTGTCTGCACCTGCGTGTGCACATGTCTCCATGCGTGCCTGTGCCCATGTCTGTGTTTGCACATGTGCCTGTGCTGGTGCTCTGGGCCTGGGGGTGGTTCTGGATGGCCCAGCACTGCTCACGGGCCCTGTTCACTGGGTCGGACCGGGCCCACAGGGCTCCCGCCGCTGCGGGGGGCTGGAGGGGGC